AGAAAACAAAAAACAAAACAAAACAAAACAACAAACCAGAGGAGGATTGGCAGATGTCAGCTCAGGGCTGACCTTCCTCACCAAAAAAAAAAAAAGGAAACTCGTGGTGAGTTAGTTGGATGAACTCCATACTCAGCGCAAGGCATGGGGACAGTGGAATCCTGAGGCCTGGCTCTCACAGGGCTTAGGATCCAGCAGGAAAGACCGAGTCTGAACAAGAGAAACACATGTGCTGAGGGCATGAGGAGAAGAATGGGGTGGGGGCTAGGGATCAAGTACGGGGGAGGCTTACCTAGCCCCGGTGTCTGGGAGGCTCTTTTTCAGGGAGTAATGTTTATGCAGAGAAGTGCAGGGTGAGGAGGAATTAGCTGGTGGGGCCGAGGGGATGGCACATGCCCACGTGTGGGGATCAGAGGAAGGGAAAATGGGCTGGCAGGGCTGGAGCCCAGGGGTCACCCCAGGTTAGCCTCACCCTGCTGGTGGGGGAGATAAGTCAGTAAGTGTGTACTGGTACCTGGTGGTTGTACTACTTCTGTCTCCTCCTGCCACTGAGATGTAACCTGTATGCCATTTCTAGTTAAGGTCTAAACTTAGCAGTTTCAATAGGAGTCTATTTTTATAGAAAAAACTTAGAGGAAAAGAGAATCAGCCACCCTAAGTGGAGCTGATGCCTGGAGCTAAGTGCGGCCAGACTGGGCTCCAGGACGCCCACTAAAGACAAGAGCGCGAGTCCTGCCTCCTCCACCCAGCTTACCGGCAGCTCCTGCTGGAATCGATGGACTCAAGTGGAGTCTCTAAGAACAGACAGAATTTGAAAATAAAAACCGCCCTGGTCTTGCAGCAGACATTCCCTACTGTGAGCGCACTCTCTGACCTCCACATCCCTGAGAAGGCTGGGGTCTGTCTGTGTGGTCCCTCTGTGCCTGCCAGGCTCCAGCCTTTTCCCTCACGGCACCCCTGGGCTGGACTCTGCTTCTCTGTCTTACCTGACTCCCGGGCAAGGCTGTGCACTCCAGAGCAGAGCAGTGTCTGCCAGACACTCAGTGAGCGCAGGCCTGCCAACGGTGCTGTGGTGACTGTGGTGACGGCGTGAGGGGTCCACTGGCGCTCCTGTCCCGTCCCTGACCCCTCCTGCCCTCCCCACCTTCCCACCCCGCATGTCCCCCTGCCCTCCTTTAAATCACCCAGGGAAGTATCTGTCACACGTATGTCCAAACCAGGTGCATCTCGGTGCCCCAAGGCCTGGCATGGGGCCAGAGAGCCTTCCTGGTCTACTCACACTGGTGAGGTGGGCGAGGGGTGGGCTTTGCTTACCGTTTGGCTTTCATCTTCCTTTTTATCAGCCGGCTTGTCTGTTTGGGAGGCTGCTTTTCTCCTAACACAAGGAGAAAGAAGACAGACATCAGCTCCTGAAGGTGTTCACACTGATGTCTCCTGTGCCGGACACAGCTTGGTCCTCAGAGGTTCCTGTGCTGGGATCTGACCCTTATTTTGAATGAAGGAGGCAACTTGTCCAAGCCCCTGTCTGGTCCATGGCAATGCCTGGCTGAGTGTCCAGGCCTTCTGTGCTCGTCCCATGACCGCAGACAGAAAAGTGGCCCAGGCAGAGAGGATGGGGCCTGGGGGACACTGCCATCTCTGTTTACAGCACCTGAGGGCTGGAGGACGTTGGTTTGCGCCCTGTCCAGGTTCCCTAGGGGGCTGGGGGTTGGCTGGGTGGCAGCTGTTCTTGCAGGATGCTCAAGGCCTGGCCACGTGGGACAGGGAGAGGTGCCCCTCTGGGCTGCAGTCTGTCACAGGTCGGGGCTGCGGGAGCATCCCGTCTGTAGTCTGACTGTCTTGGGTAAGCCCACCCCACCACTTTGTGGGAGGGGGGAAGAAACCTTTCTCTCTTATCCTAAAGCTCCTCCTATCTTGGAGCTCAGTTACCCAGCCGCACCCTCCCCAATCTGGAACACCAGCAAGAACCTGAATAAG